GTGTGTGTGTGTGTGTGTGTGTATTTAATGCGCTGGTGGTTGTGTATAATCCATCTGCTAGCTGTTTTTGCAGTGTTTTCCGGGACCTGTGTGTTTCTGTCCTTCTTCTCCGGGCTGGGCTTATGCTTTCAGGCTGCCCTATCTGGTATACCGTATCTAGGTCGCCCTGAGGGGCCTCCTGATCACCAGGATATCCCCTCTTGCTGAGGCATCGAGCGGGAAGTATAGGTGGCATTGGCGAGAACCTTCTTGAGTAATGCTGTCTCAGGCAGTGTTCCCTTCGCTTTAGAGGGTTGTATTTGAACTTGCCTCTCCTGTTTGTCTCAGTACTTCCGGGTATCTGTGAACAGATGCTTGGTAGCTTGCAGTACGCTTATCCTTCTGATTTCTAACGATCATGCTGTAGGTCGAGCCCCCCTCTCGCTGAGAGCTGAATTTGTGCTCCCTCAGCTAAGGTAAATTACTGCTAGCCGTTCCAGGATTGGAACATGCAGTAGGTCGAGCCCCCTTCTCGATTGAGAACTGGGTGTGTTGCTCTCTCAGCTAAGTAAATTACTGCTAGCTGTTCCAGCATTGGAACATGCTGCAGGTCGAGCCCCCATATTTATTCATGATAAAATAATTACTTTATAATTGTATTGGAGTCTTACACACATGCTACACAGTTAATCTGAGTCGTGCATTAATTTGAGTGCTGACAGCTATAATGAGCGGCTTGGAGATGCAGATAACTTGATCTTGACTCTTAAGAAACTTTAATGCTGTCACATAATAAATCTGCTTCAAAGATACAATTAAATGAATTGCTAATTGACATTGAAATAAAAATGTAAAGCCTGTACAAATACCAGAAATCGTGAATAGGTATAAATAATTGGAAATCGTGTAAAAAAAACAAAAACAAACAGTGCACATTTCATTTCTCTAACACGTATGTAGTTTTGTTCGCTTGGCTGTTTCCTTATAAAAGTCCAGAAATGTGTCAACTTTTTCGTCAGGTGTCTTTTTTTAAATTATATGATGTCATTACGTTGCTGTCTTGCCGCCAGCCAATCGCTGCACTGCTGATCGTGGTTTCAAGTATCGATACATCTGCCCTTTTCGGGGAACACGAGAACACACCGTAATCTTAGACAACTTCATCCAGATATTTTGATCAAATACGCAAATTTGTTTGAAGAACCAAATTAGCCAGAGATCAGTTATCACGATTAGAAGATCTGGCATCTTTCAAATCAGCTCAGATGTATTAAGCGACATATGAAGAACGGGCCCCTGTACTGAAGTGCTGATAATGAAACCTGACAACACTAAAGCCTGGCCTAACCAGTGTTCATGGTTATTTGGACTTCATGAGAAACACCAACTCACCTACTACATCTGAACCCCCATCCTCACTGCATTGTTCAGGTGCTTTCTGAGGGAAGAAGAGATCAGCTACTCTTTTCTTTTTCTTCTTTGGTGAGGATGGCTTCTTGGCCCAGCTTGCTCCCTGCTCTTGATCAGCAACAGACAAACATTAGCACATGTTAGTTACAACCCTTTAAAAAGGCGCATTCAGTGTTCTCTGAAACAGCATATGAAACAGCCAGCTAAGTATAATGATCCCAAACTGCGGTGCGCTCTCTTCATTTATCAAATGATCATAATCACATCTATTCATTTTACAATCCTGCTACAAGCCTTTTATTTAGACTAAAAAAAAACTTTTCATTCAGGTGAGGAAGCTGGCGTTTTGAGTGGCATTTGCGCATCTTTTCATGCCGGTGACTATATGCAACTGCAATAGAGGCATTTTGCAATATTTAGATTAATGATTAATCGATTAATTGATCGTTAATTTACACGATAATCGATCATGGGAATGATTGAAAATTGACATCCCTAGCGCAATCCCACACCAAAATTCAGGACCTAATTAAAAATATATTCTATTGTACAGAGAGATTTGTGAAATACATTTCCATGACTTTTCCAAAACTTTCTGGGTTTATAAATTTTTCTAAAACTTTCCAGGCCTGGAAATTGCCGTTTTAAAATTCTGTGACTTTTCCATGTTGTTCATGACCGTACCAACCCTGTATTGAACTCACCTACTTCAATGTCCACCTGTACTGAAGTGCTGATAGTGAAACCTGACAACACTAAAGCCTGGCCTAACCAGTGTTCATGGTTATTTGGACTTCATGAGAAACACCAACTCACCTACTACATCTGAACCCCCATCCTCACTGCATTGTTCAGCTGCTTTCTGAGGGGACAAGAGGTCAGAACATCCGTCTGAAAAACAAAAAGTGACACCTCATCTTCTGAAGAGTAAAAAAGACAAAACAGCTGTTATTATTCTCAGATTATACAGGCCCAAACAACAGTTGTAAAAAAACTAAAACAGTGTTAAATCTAAACATCTTCTGATGAACTTTTAGATTCCCGTCAAATTTGTTTACAAATCATCATATGGTAATTTCATATATGTTACATCCACACAATCTTGTGGGCAAATTTATTAACACATTCAGTTTTATCTGTGTTGTTTTAACCCTTCCGTTTTATCAATTCTTTTGGCAGTTTTAAAACCTAATTAGGGACAGGGCTGCAAATAAGCTACCTCTCAACCCCTTGCTTAAATTACATCTGTTGCACTGCTTTTCTGTATCTGACGCCAGGTTCACACACACTCTGTTTGCAGTGCGTATGCGGTGCATATTTTTTTCCGCACCCATGTTAACAGATCAAAGCATTCACACTGCACGCAGTTGCAGTCCGGCAATGCGTTCCAGGTGCGGTGCGTCATTTGAGGTATCATTTGAAACTGCAAAGGGTCTACTTTTGTGTATAGTCCTAATAACTACAAAACAATGTGCTTTTGTAAAATAAAGAAAATAAACAGGGTGCGCTCTTTGTCGTCTCGGTCTCTGTCATCTCTCTTCACAGACACGTAAATAAAACAACCTGAACCTCCACGAATACTTGCCTCAATGACATGAGAAATATATGCATAGAAAGCTTGAAATGTCTACTTTCAAATGAAGTGTCGTGTCGAAAACAAATATTCTCTGATGAAGTAATCCCTATGAAACCAACGTGATGTCCAGTTTTGCTCATCTAAACTCATATCTAATGTGACCATAGCCACGAGCTGATCGCGATTTTCAAATTCTAAATATCCACGCGAGACGTGCGAACATATTAATGCCCATCACCTCCATAAACGACAGTCACCAAGTTCATCTCGACTACTTTTCGTTTCTGGAAGAAAACGCGCTGAGAGGAATAACCCAGGATTTACCTCAGAAGAAGAACACGATGCGACGGCTTGATCCAGTGGAGGAGATCATTTATACGAGTAAGATTACTCGCATTAGTTGTTATTGTGATGTAACATGTACATATTTTACTAGATAGACTTTTCCCAAACTATAATTCCTGACTATATGTATGAAATCAAGTGAAAATTTTTAATGTGTGGCATTTCATTACATCTAAATATCTCACAACTCCAGGAAGTTTTTTAATGTTTTATAAAACATAAAACCACAAGATATAAAAGTGGTATGAGTGTTTACAGTGAGTCTAAGAATGTTTGGCACAAAGGTGCTACTGTTCAAGTTTCAGTGTTTAGATCAGTATGTTTCAATAATGTGTCTTTGACCGTCACTTTTATTTACAACACAGAATAATCACAGTATACACATAGTACAAATAATCAAACCCTCCCAAAATTTTACTCTCCTCACATTCTTTGTTACCTGCCTCAGTCACATTCATATTGATGGCCCATTATGGAAGGCCCTTTGTCTCTCAGGTGTGAATCACTAAATATTCATGGCCATTGTCACTCCCTCGCATACAGTTTTCTAACACAAAACATGTCTTACATAAGTTAAATCAATATATTGTTTTCTGTGAATGAGTGAGCAGAATGATTTTCACATCATTTTGTAGCAAAAACTCTAGTCTACCACATCCAATTCTCAAAAGTCTTGTGAACAAATATTCTGTATGTGTTTATTGGTCTTATTTCAGTGACTTAATGTTAGTTTTTCACTAACCACGCATAAACGTTGTTTTCTCAAAAACACAAACATGTACATTCATGCTGCTCACATATTATTGTAGCCCAGTTTGTGCTGATTACAGTGTAAAGCCATTAATAGGTTTTTAAGATACAGAAAAAAGCAGAAATGTCAGGGAATGTCAAAACTTCTCCAGGGCCCCAAAACACACTCAGACCCCAGAGGGTTAACATAAATCTAGAAGTAAACGCATTGAATAATGCATTGCTTATATTTATTGCGTTTAAATATGTCTATGAAAGATTGTATTACTGTACTGTGATAAAAGATCACAATGCTGAAAAAGCATTTTCAGTAACAATGTTTGGATTTGAAATCAAAATAATGGATAAATGTTGTGTTTGTGGTAAACAGCCGCGGATCATGAGCAGACTGCAAGCGCGTCCTGTGAGAAAGCAAAATGAGTCCGTGCTGCTTCTGCACCGCATACGTAACGCACACGGACTGCATACGCACTGCAAAACGGAGTCTGAACCTGCTGTAAAAATGCCTAAATCGGTATGGTATACGTGTACCAATCTCAAATCTACTAAAACAAGAACGGCAGTACATACAGTATATGTATGACCTGAATAGCGCATTGGTAAAAGGCAGAAATTTTTTTAGATTTCATGACAACCACTATTTACGCTGTAGGTCACAGTGGTGGTTTTGTATTGAATGTCATTTTACGGGAGGTGCTTTCAATTAATGCCACGTTTACAACCGTTTATATAGACAAGTATAAAATGTAAAATTGAAATCTTACCTTCATCCACCTCTCTTCGGTCTTCCTTTTTTTGTTTGTCTCTGTGAGACAGAAGTTGATGCAGGACTTTCACCTATAAAAGATTAAAAACAATCAAATACTAGTGCTTGATCATCCAAAACTCATAGCTCACTTAATCAAAGGTAGTTTATGTACTTATAATACATTTTCCCCCGGGTTCACAGACAAGGCTTAAGCCTAGTCCTAGAATTAAACGTAAGTCTGAGCTGTTTCAACTGAAAGAATCTAGCAATGACTGATCTTAAAATATATCAGTGCCTTTGTTTTGTCTCAAGATGCACACCAGTAATGTTTTTCCTAAGCACATTTATAAAAATTACTTAAATGTCCTAATTGAACTATGGCCTAATCCTGGCTTAGTCTAAGCCCTGTCTGTGAAACCGGGCCTTGGTCTATGTGAAAGTATAATTCTATTACATGTTAAATGAGTGTTACTGTCCAGCAGTAGAAGATTGTATAGCCAAAAAAATAAAAAATACAACATACAATTGCACTAGCAATAAACATACATACCACTTACTGAAGGACTAAGTGTGTTAAGGTTCTTCACTCTTAAGGTTTCAGTGCCTTGCTCCATTGCAAACAGAAGCTTACTTATTTTGGCAATTTGTCTGTCTGTAAAAGTCACAGTGAACTCTGATGTCATGACCCATGAACCTTGCAACTTGCTCCAGCTCTTGTTCAGCAAGGTCCAAGAGTTGGCAGAGTGTGGCGACCTGTTTTCTTAATTTAGTTGATCTTAGGAGTTCAGGGTTTTCGGTGTTTTTTGAACATTAAAGCATGTCAGCATATTCTGTTACACCAAATACACAAAATAATGATCTTTTAAAAAGCATCATATGACTCCTTTAACTATTGTTGCACGTAAACTAGGCTATAATAGGCCAAACCACATTGAAAGGCAGACTTGATGCCCCACTCGTGGTGACGAGTGTGAGAGTCATGCAGATTTATGTTTTCAGAGCATAAGATAAGGTTGTTTACCATCATATAAAGTTAAATTCGGTCTGCCTCATCTAGAGAAAGACAGAGGATGTATTCCACAGACTGAAGGAGATAGCTGTTCTTGTGCAATTATTGTATTTATTGTACTCTCTCTAAATGTGTACATGGATTATTGGTAACACTTCACATTAAGGTTCATTACTTAACTACTTTAATATGAACTAAAGAATGAACAGTACTTTTACAGCAATTATTAGTCTTAGTTGATATTGACTTCAGCATTTACGAATACATTATTAAAATCAAAAGTTGCATATATTAACATTAGTTAATGCACTGACTGTGAACCGACATAAACTAACAAAGAACAGTTGTATTTTTATTAACTAACATTAACAAAGATTAGGGTTACTGCAGCAAATGTATTGCTCATTGTTAGTTCATGTTAGTTAAAGGGATAGTTGACCCCAAAATGAAAATGCTGTCATTAATTACTCACCCTCATGTCGTTCCAAACCTGTGAGACCTTCGTTCATCTTCAGAACACAAATTAAGATATTTTTGATGAAATCCCAGAGCTCTCTGATCCTCCATAGACTATAAGGGTATTACCACGATCAAGACAGAAACATAGTAAGGACATCGGTAAAACAGGCCATGTAACATCAGTGGCTCAACAGTAATTGTAAGAAGCTATGAGAATACTTTTTGTGCGCAAAGAAAACAAAAATAATGACTTGCTATGCTATGATCTGAATGTAAACAAGGCACAGCACATGCACGTTCTGTGTCAGCAGCATCACACGCTTACGTTGATTAGGTTCAGATCGTGATACTTTCCAAAATGGTGCCAGGGTGATGTGGAGGAGACAAACTGTTGAATAAAGTCATTATTTTTGTTTTCTTTGTGCACACAAAGTATTCACGTAGCTTCATAAAATTACGGTTGAACCACTGATGTCACATGGATTATTTTAACGATCT